AAAACTGTGGCTTCCCTGGTGGCTCAGTGCTAAACAATCAGCCTGCCTAATGCAGGAGACACAGGAAACCTGGGTTCAATCCCTGGGCCAGGAAGATTCCCTGAAGAAGGAAATGGCATCCCACACCAGTCTTCTCTCCTGGAAAACCCCATGGACAGAAGAGCCTGGAAAGCTAAGGTCCATGGGGCCACAAATGGTCAGACATGACTTAGCCACTGGAAAACAACAGCACAGTAAATATAATAGTGTGAAAGCATGAACGTGTTAGTCACTCAGTCGTGTCCCACTCTACCACTCCATGGACTGTAGCCTGCCAGCTACAGTCTGTCCATGGAATTCTCCAGGTAAGAATACTGGAGTGGGTTGCCATGGCCTTCTCCAGGGGATCTTCCTGACCCTGGGATTGACCCCAGGTTTCCTGCATTGCAGGCAGATTCTCATACATTACACCACCAGGGAAGTCCCCAAAACAAGTTCTAATCACAAAGTGACCATATGATCTATTAATTTCACTCCTAGACATGCACCAAAATAATTGAAAACAGGTGTTCAAACAATATTTGTAGAGAAATGTCATTAGCAGCTCTATTCACAATAGCGAAAAGTGAAAATGATACAAATGTCCATCAACAAATAAACCAATGTGCCTAGCTGCTCAGTCTTGTCTTCGCCACTCTTTGCCACCTTATGGACTGTAACCCACCAGGTTCCTCTCTCCATGGGGATTCTCCAGGCAAGAATGCTTAAGTGGGTTGTCATGCCCTCCTTCAGGGGATCTTCCCAACCCAGGGTCAAACCCAGGCCTCCCGCATTGCAGGCAGGTTCTTTACCATCTGAGCCATCAGGGAAGCCCATGAATACTGGAGTGGGCAGCCTATCCCTTCTCCAGGGGATCTTCCCAACCCAGGAATCGAACCGGAGTCTCCTGCATTGCAGGTGGATTCCAATGGACATCAACAAATAACTAGGTAAACATAATGTGGCAAAGTCATACAATAGAATATGACTCAACTATAAAAGTAAATAAAATAATGATACACACTACAACATGGAAAAACCTGAGAACAAGCTAAGTGAAAGAAGTCAAACATAAAAAGCCACATACATTATGATTTCATTTACATGGAATATCCAAAGTAGGCAAACTCATAAAGACAGAAAGTAGATTTCTCCAAAGACTAGAAAAAGAAAAAAAAAAAAAAAGGAAAGTGACTGCTGAAAAGGGGTTTGGTGAGGTTAATAAGAAAGTTCTGGAACTAGATATGAGTGATGGTTGTACTATTTTGTAAATGCACAATTCCACTGATCTGTACATTATTGAGTGATTACACTAGCAAATTTATGTTACATGTATTTTACTACAGTAAAAATAACCTTGTTCTATCAAGAAAAATATTAGTCCATCGCTGTCCACATTCCAAAATATCTGTAACACAAGTACTGAAGTTACTGTAGTGAGCAAATATTTCATGCTCTTCTTCACAAGATATAGACACTATTGCATAAATGCATAGACAATCAATATTTGGCAGTATAAAAACCTAAAATGACACTGAAATAGCATTCAAACTGACACTTCTGTGCACATATGAACAATTCTATGTGTATAGAAATTCTAGCAGAATTGTAATTATTCAATAGGGAAGAAAATCCCCAAAGCTTTTCCTCCTCCAGCTTCACTCCCCTGATGTAATCACACTCTGCCTCCTTCCTGAATGCTCCAGGGGATAAAATGAATGTCTTGTAATTTTATTGGTTTTATGACACACTTGATCTCTGGGGACTGCCATGTATTTCTCATTCTGAAAATTCTGTGAATCATTCTCACTTCTTTTGCTTACACCTTTCTTAGGAAAAAATAAGTGTTTCTCTCTAATTTAAACCTATTCTAATTTTAAAACTTAAGGCTGCCCTCACATATGCATTTGAAGAGAATCTAGCACACCTACCATCACTGACTTGGAGATTTCCAGCAATTTTAGAGCATCAAAAATACCTTGCTGACTCTCCTACTTTTTAAAGCCATAAGAATTGAATTAATGGATCTTATTAATTATTGAAATAAAATACTACTTGTTATACAATATTTGCACCCTGCATAGAGAGAGAGGATACTGCTAGCTTACCATCAGTAAGTGATATTCTCAGATTTATTTGTTGTTGATGATATTTAAAATAAACTGGAATCATACAGTTTCTGGTAATTCTAATTAAGTTTGAGAGCACTGCACCATGTCGATTTGCTCTTTTTGGGGTCTTGGGGATATTAGCAAGTTGGATAAATTCAGGGGTAGAATTTGTGATGACGTAATTGACTCACAAAATTTGAGCTCATTCCTGTAACTCTCACCATGCTACCTTTCTTTGTCATAATGTCACGGAACTTGGGGCTGGGTCACGTTTTCAAGAATGATTTTTTTTTTTTCATTGTGATGCTTTGGTGAATCATTGAATGAGCAAAACTCTTCCTTTACTGAGTTTTTTTTTTTTTTCTTGTACTAACAGTCTGATTGCTTGAGTATATATAGCTCCAGTACTTGCACTGAGCAACCCTTGGACTTTGAGTAAGCCACTGATCATTTCTACAGTGAAAGCGAAAGTCACTCAGTCATGTCCAACTCTTTGTGATCCTATGGACTCTACAGTCTATGGAGTCTTCCAGGCTGGCAGCTCAGCTGGTAAACAATCCACCTGCAATGCAGGAGACCCCAGTTTGATTCCTGGGTTGGGAAGATCCCCTGGAGAAGGGAATGGCTATACCCACTCCAGCATTCTGGCCTGGAGAATTCCATGGACTATATAGTCCATGGGGTTGCAAAGAGTTGGACATGACTAAGTAACTTTCACTTCACTGATCATTTCCAGAAATGAATCAAATTATCACTAAGATCTCCATTTTCTCAAAAATTCTACCAAACTATTACCTCATAACTATGAACTTCTGATCCCCATCTTTTGGTGACAGTCACACATTTTCTCCATATGTGTGCTAATAAAATTTTCATATCTCCAGTAGGGATACTTAAGCCCATGAGAGACAATGCAGTCTTCAGTTTAGCCTTTTACTTTTCTAGGTACTCATCAATTCATCTGAGGTGACTCTGCGTATAGGGAAATTCCTTTATTGTGTCATGAATCAGTTGCACAGCACTATCCTCATTCACCTCTCCTCTCCCACATCCACATTATGAAACCACTCTTTATGCTTACTAAATTTGGAGGGGTTCTGAATCCTCTTCCTGATGGTTTTGGAGAAGCTCAGTGCTGCTCTGGTGTACTATATGTTAAGCAGATGATTTTCTCAGCATTCTAGCTCAGTAAGGTCCAAACCAGTACAAGTTCTGTGCCTGAATTTTGGGAAAGGCATAAAGCTCCCTGAGCCCCATTTCTCCAAATGTGTGGGGAAATTCTACATGTATTATAAAACACTGTAAACATACATGTGTTCAATTTATTTTGCTTGGTCAACTTCCAGTTATAGAAATGGAAAAGTTTCCCTCTCTGGAATTTTAAAAGTTTTGATAGTTGAGTTTATAGCCGCTCAGATCCTCACACTTGAATGAACTTTAATTATAATACATTTATTTTTCCTTTCAAAAACCAGGGAAGAAAAATTTCATGTGTTTGTAAACAAAGGTTCCAGAACTTTTCAGAAATAACTGAAGCAGTGTTTGCTGTTTCCCTTTAAGAGGGCTTCTGACTTCACACATTATCCGTGCTCAGTTCTGGCTTGTTTTATTCAACATTTATAAGAGGAAGATATAGTCTGGGTCAGCTGTGCATGACTTTGACAGCTTTAAGTGTTCCCTCTTTGCAGCATTGCTTGAGGTTACACTGCATGTCCCTCAACTATACCTTTATTTTGCCTTAGTTCTTCTTTCATCATGCTCACACATCATTTTAACAAAACTGCTTCACAATTCACTGATTTGATGACTGTCAATTAAGGAACTTTTGTGTTTCAGACACTGAGTTAGCGCTGGGAACTCAAAAATAAAGTAACAGAAAGCCCTATGTCCATGACATTTGTACTGTAATGGAGTGAGGCAGGTAATAGACACAATAAATTAGAACAGAATATTTGTTCTATGAAGATAAGTACTATGGACAAAAAATAAAGCAGGAAAGGGGGGTAAGAGAGATGGGAGAGAGCTGTTCTTTTCAACTTTAAATAACACAGTGAGGGAAACCTTCAGTAAAAGATGGTTTTTTAAAAACAACCTTAAGGAGGTGAGGAATAAGAGCATGTGGCTACCTTGGAGGAAAACCACTGCAAGACTTTTTCTATGATAAGAAGGGTGTTGAGCTGTGGAGCAATTATGGCCATATTACATTTTAACATAATCTTCTTGATATTGTGTTGAGGATACTTCAAAAGGAAGTAACAGGGAAGCAGGAAGACAAGCTGGATGTTACAGCAACAGTTCAGGTGATAAATGATAACAGCAAAGGCTAAGGTAGAAGCAGCAAAGCTGGTGAGAAGTGATGGGAAGTTGGCTATATTTAATAATAGGATAAAAATTTGTCAATGTTTGTGAGATTTGACAGAATAAGAAATGTCAAGATGAACTCAAGTGGCTACTAACATACTAGGGAAGTAGCACAGGCTCAATTTTAATAACTGTGCTGTGTTTCATCACATAAAATGCCATCCTCCACCCAATGAAAACCTTATCACTAAAAATTTAGGTTGATCCCACATCTGCTACTACAAGTAATATTTCAATAAAAACTCAATGCCAAAAATTTTGCATGTGTCCATTTTTCCCCAGGCTATGCATATTTCCATGTCACTTGGCACACACTCCAAACTGATCTTCAAGAAGCTGATGGGCCATTACCTATGGAGAAGTTGATGGGATGCTTTCAGGAACAAAGGATTTAAATTTATGTTTAAAGTTTGCTAACTGATATAATCACTATACCCTGTGTAATCACTCATACCCTGTGCCCCCCACTCATCTGCAGGTGACCTGTTTGCCCTACCTTTAGCTGTATGTATGATGGAAATAGCCAATGTAAGTTTTCCAGAAGTTTTTATACTACTGGGCTTCTCTGAAAGACCCTCTCTAGAACCCATCCTTTTTATCTTTGTCTTGGGAGTTTATGTGGTGTCTGTCTTGGGTAATGGCATCATCATTGTGGTCTCCTGCATGGATGTGCATCTCCATACTCCTATGTACTTCTTCCTTGTCAACCTTTCCTTCCTGGACATTAGCTTCACCACAAGCATCATCCCACAACTCCTGGTCAATCTCTGGGGACCACAGAAAACCATCAGCTATGGAGGGTGTGTGATCCAGTTCTATATCTCCCACTGGTTGGGGGCAACTGAATGTGTCCTTCTGGCTGTCATGTCCTACGATCGCTATGCTGCCATTTGCAGGCCACTCCATTACACCATCATCATGCATCCAAAGCTTTGCTGCAGCCTGGCTTTTGCCTCATGGCTTGGGGGTCTGACCACCAGCATGGTAGGTTCCACACTCACCATGCTCCTGCCTCTCTGTGGGAACAATCGCATTGACCACTTTTTCTGTGAGATGCCCCTCATTATGCAACTGGCTTGTGTGGATACCAGCTTCAATGAAGTAGAGATGTACGTGGCCAGCTTTATCTTTGTTGTCTTGCCTCTGGGTCTCATCCTGGTCTCATACAGCCGTATTGCTTGGGCTGTGTTGAAGATCAGGTCAGCAGAAGGGTGGAGAAAGGCATTCAATACCTGCTCGTCCCATGTGGCAGTGGTGGCTCTGTTTTATGGGAGCATCATTTTCATGTATCTCCAGCCTGCCAAGAGAAACTCTCATGAGCAAGGTAAGTTTGTAGCCCTCTTCTACACTGTGGTCACCCCAATGCTGAACCCCCTGATTTACACGCTAAGGAACAAGACTGTGAAGAAGGCACTTAGGCACATTGTATCAGAGAACTGTGGTTTTGGAGGGACACTAGGTAATATTTAGAAACTCACCAGTTGTGAGGAGGAAGCTGGTTTAAAGGGATCAAAATTATTTTTTAAAAATGAGAGAAAAAGAAATACATGATTTGGAGGGACAGAATATTTGGGATGTCATTTCAGTACAAAATTTCTTGAGTTCAAAGTAGGTGACAAATTGAATTGGATGTACTCATACTGTTTTCAGGCCAAGATAAAGATAAAGTGTTTTCTGTTTTCATTTTTTGCTCATAATTATATCGTTTGGCTGTTTATGTAGTTTTATATGTATGATAGGTATGCTTGTTATGATATTGTAAATTGTTTATGTAGCTACATATGTTAATTGTTATGTTAGTTTGTTAGGATTTTATAGAATGTCTGCAACTAAGTGTGCCTAATTTGTGTGAAGTCCTTTGCCTTTTCTCCCCAATATTTGCAGTGACTCAGTGATGTAGATATTATTGATCTCATAGCAGTTAGATAATTGCAAAGTGACTCAATGGACATGAGCTTGAGCAAATTCTGGAAGACAGTGAAGGACAGGGAACCCTGGCATGCTGCAGTCCATGGGGATACTAACAGTAGGACACAACTGAGTGACTGAATAACAACAAATCAAAATTTTAGGCTGATATATAAGTCTAGCATATTTATCCATAGGTGTCTTTGCCATTTTCCTTATAAATCCCAGTGATGTAATAAGAAATAGATACATTTTTCTTATCATGAGTCTTGGCACTGAGCTTCTAGAACCCTTGGAATTTTCTGAGTGATATCAGTGAGAAGAACGACTTTTGTTATTCATAGCAAGCCCATTTCAACTGTACCTGAGTTTATGACAATGAAATAAGTCAACCTAGAGTCCTTAGACAGCTTCAGGATGGAGTCTGGGTGTCAGAGGAGCCAACCATATGATTAGAAGGTTGGAACTTTCAGCCCCACATCCAACTGCTGGGGAGAGGGAGTAACTAGAAATTAAGGCACCAATGGTCAGTTTTTACTTAATAAATCATGCCTATGCAATGGACCTATATAAAAACCTTAAACTCTGGTGTTTGGAAAGCTCCAGGATGGTGAATAAGTATATGTGGCAAGAAGGTTGTGAACCCCAAACTTTGCAGAGACAGAAGCTCCTTTGCTCAGGACTCATCCCATGTACCTCTTCATTTATATTCTTTATAATAAACCAGTACACTTAATGTTTCCCTGAGTTCTGTAAGTCATTCTAGGAAATCACTTAACCTGACCAAAGGACAGGTCCTGGCAATCCATGATTACAGTCAGTTGGTAGTTTGTGGCAATCTAGAACTTGCAACTGACTTTTGAACTGGGGCAGGTGGGGGGAAGGGCTCTTGTGCAAGACTTTGCTTTTAAATCAGTGGGGTCTGGTGTTAAATTCAGGTGTACTTACTATCAGAATTAAATTGAATTCTCAGATATACAGTTGGTCTTTGGAGAGTTGGAATATTGGTTATTGATGTGGAAAATTCACACATTTGGTGCCAGGAATGTTGTGAGCAAAAAGAAATTCATACCGCTTCATGAGGAGGAATATAAAGATGCAAATGTCTCAAGGGTAGAACTTTTAGCTGGATTTCCAGCCAATTAGAGATTTCATCAATAACATACTATACAGATTTATCTCTAATTACAGAAATATCACCTTTCTTATTCAACTCTATGCCTTCTGTTTACAAGAAATATAAAGTTATTTTTTCATTCAGTAGAATATTTGTTTACTTTTTTAGTATGTCCAATCATGCATTTATTCATTCCTAAAATGAGATCTTTACATGAGATCTATTCCTGGAGCTTAGGAAAACTAGCACACAATGTTGCCCTAAAAAAGATGAATTAAGTTCACAGAGCAATCACAGTACTTGTTGATTTAAAACTCAAAGCAGTGTTGGAAAGTTAATAATATTGACATTTTTGTGATGAAAAATGCTGGTCACACAGAAAAGCATTTTTTGATATTACTTTTACTGATTTTTTACCCTTTTATTTCATATTGTAGTAGTTATTAATAATGCTGTGTTAGTTCTAGGTATGCAGCAAAGTGATTCAGTTATACATGTATTAATTATTCTTCAAATACTTTTCTCACTTAGATTGTCACATAATAATGAGCAGAGTTCCCTGTGCTGTACAGTAGGTCCTTGTTGGCTATTTATTTTAAATATAGCAGTGGGTACATGTCAGTCCCAAACTCCCTAACTATCCCTCCCCATACCCTTCTATCCTGGTAATCATAAATTCATTCTCTAAGTCTGAATCTGTTTCTTCTTTGTAAATAAGTGTTTTCTATAGATTGTGCATATAAACAAATCATAACGATTTTTATCTTTCTCTGTCTGACTTATTTCACTCAGTATGACTATCTCTGTGTCCATCCATGTTGCTGTATATGACATTATTTCATTCTTTTTAGTGGCTAGATAATATTCCTTTTTATATATGCACCACATTCTCTTTATCCATTCCTCTGTTGATGGACATTTAGGTTACTTTTGTAAACAATGCTGCAATGAACATTGGGGTGAATATATCCTTTTGGACATTTTTCTCCAGATTTATGACCAGGAGAGGGATTGCAGGATCGTAGGGTAGCTCAATTTTTATTTTTTAAGACTCCTCCATACTGTTCTCCACAGTGGCTGTACAATTTACATGCCCACCAACAGTGTGGGAAGGTTCTGTTTTGTTGACATCCTCTTCATCATTTGTTGTTTGTGGATTTTTTGATGGTAACTGTTCTGATTAGCATGAGGTGATATCTCATTGTAATTTTGAATTGCATTTCTCTGATTATTAGCAATATTGAACATCTTTTCATGCGTCTCTTAGTCATCTGTATGCTGCTTTGGAGAAATGTCTCTTTAGGTTTTCTGTCCATTTTTTTGATTGAGTCATTTGTTTTGATGACATTAAGCCACTTAAACTGTTTATAAATTTTAGAGACTAATCATTTGCAAATATTTTCTCCCATTCTGTGGGTTATCTATAAGTTTTTTTTAAGGTTTCCTTTACAAAGTTTTTGAGTTTAAGTGGGTCTCATTTATTTTTGTTTTTATTTCCATTACTCTGATAATGGAAACATTAAAAAAGGCATTACTGTGATTTATGTAACTGTGTTCTGCCTATGTTCTCCTCTAAGAGTTTCATAATATCTGGCCTCACATTTAGGCCTTTAATTCATTTTGAGCTTATTTTGTGTATGGTGTTAAAGAATAGTCTAATTTCACTTTTTTACAGGTAGCTCTTCAGTTTTCCCACCACCATTTACTGAAGAGACTGACTTTCCAACATTGTGTAGCCCTGCCTCCTTTGTCATTGATTAATTGACCATAAGCGCATGGACTTATTTCTGGGTTTTCTATGCTGTTCCACTGATCTGTATTTCTATTTTTGTGCCAGTACAATACTGTTTTTTTTTTTAATACAAAGCTTTGGCATTAGCAATTTTATGAAAATTAAAATGTACTAAAAATAAATGCTTCTGTGGCATGATTGGTAAATGATACACAAACATAGGTTCTTTTTTCCTTCAAGGCAGTCAGAAAGCAGTTTTTCCTTCTTCAAAACTATTCTACCTCATTAGCATTCAACTAGTTGTGGTTCTGATGATCACATAGCAGTGTGACAGCGCTGAGGAGGCCGAAATTGTCAGTAATAAATCGTTCTTTTGTCACTGCGATGTTGATCTCTCTTGCTCTAGGAGGGTGCTCCCCATCCTGCGGAAGAAGTGAGAGCCCCAAGTTGTGACTCCAGGCCAAACGAGTTGTCACTGGAGAGCTCACCTAGGGCTGATTGTCGGTTAGCTACTTGGACTCTGGTGAGTCTTTCCATATCAAATGCTACTTAATCAGTAAGTGGCAAATTTGGCACAATTCCCAGGGCCTCCAATATATGCAGTTTGCACATAGTACAGGTACAATGTTCACTAAGCCGGGGATCCACACAAGATGTGTAGAATACATGCTTGCAGGGGAGAATCCGGACAACATCATTCTGTTTATAGCTTTCTATGCAGACTGCACAAGGATCAAAGTCTGGGTCTGTTTCCTTACCACCCCTTTTCACTGTTCTGGTTGTCTATTTGCCAGTGACTTTCTTGGCTGCATCTTCACAACAACGCTGGTTCCTGCCCCCGGGGCATTTGTGTACCTGATCTTCTGAATGAAGTAGAATATAAGCCATCAAATAATAATCATCATCAAATAA